CGGGTGTTCTCCCAGTGCAGGCCGAGGGCAGTTATTTCTCCCACCTTAGCAGCTTCCCAGGATCCAACAGCCCCAGGCCCCAGAGCTGTTCCCTGGTGGTCGGGTGTCATTATCCCCTTGTATTCATCACTGAGCTGGCACCTTCCCCACTGGTACCCTCATGCTGGGCCCAGGGTGTGATGCCTCTCTTGGCTCGCCAGGTCCATGAGATCAGGACTGCTTCATGTGCCTTGCATGTGACTCACCTGCTTGCATATGTCAGGCTGCTATTTGCCTTTTGTCACACTGCTCTGAGCTGTTGACACGTTTGGCTCGTGATCCTCTCCGTCCCACAGGTTCTGGTTTGCAGAAGTGCTGCCATGTCATTAGTTCCCTATCCTGCAGCTGCACAGTCACTGGTACCTGCCTACATGCAGGACCGTGTGTCTGACGTCACTGAATTGTTCTGCTCTTTTTCTGACCGCTTTTCCTGTTTGTCAGTCTCATTGTAAGGTGGACCTGTGTTCTGCAGCATCCCTGCAGCCTTCCCCAGCCAAATGGCATCCTAACGCAGAAAGCAAGTACAAGACTTTGTTACCATGCAAGTGTGAGGGATGGAGCCAGGAGAGAGCAGAGGTGCACCCCTCCTGCAGTGAGGCACTGCCAAGTGCCCTCCCAGCAGCTGTCACCACCTGCAGCCATTTAATCTAACCCACAGGCATGGGTTTGCACAGGAGAAGTGGGCATCAGAGGCCTAGAAAATCAGGATCTGTGGCATCTCCCTCTTCCCTTTGCAGCTTAATGTAGTGCTAGGAAGCCATGTCACGGTATCTGGGCCATCAAAGCAGCAAGGAGCCCAAGAGCAACTGACCAGACTGGCAGGGAAGAGGCCATCAGAGTGCACTGCAGGCTAGCGAGGTCTGCCCAAATCTCAGCAGTATGGCATGGAGGAGGCTGCGCAAAGCAAGGGGAGCCCAGAGCACTTAAAGCCTCAGCGCCTGAACAGGGGTCTTATAACCAGACCCACACACAGCAATAAAAACTGCATGCTGGGTGCAGGACAGACAATGACACTGCGGGAAAGCCAGCTTGGCGCTACCAGGTTGGGTTATGCACATGCAGGGAGCAACTGCTTGAGCTTGCTGGGCACAGGCCATGCTCAGACTTGCTCTTTGCCTCATGGCCTGCACCAGCCCCTGCCGAGTTTTGCTGCTGGGGAACGCTGAGTTCAAGCTTGGCCCTGGAGAAGGCTGTTGGGGCAGACTGGGGCAGCGCTAGGAGCAGCCCAGTGCCCCTGGAGTGGCCACAGTACCCAGGGACACAGCAAGGTTAGAGGTAGAGATGTGGATAACATTACCCTGTCCACAAAGACTGTCAGAGTAGGAAGTCAGGCAGGGCTGTGCATGCACGGGTGTGTTTGCTGTGGTTCTTCCCCTTCCCTGTTGTCTCTGGGAGCACCTGGCTATTTGTTCCACGGTTTTCTTGGACTTTGAAGTTGAGCTAAGTGGCCTCTAATTCTTCACTTCCTTTTTTTCTCCTATCAAAGACAGGCACTGTGTCACTCCTTTTTCCTGTTCTCTGAAACCTCATCCATCCTCTACCAGTTCTCAATATTACCCTCACTTATCTTCAGCCCAGCCAATCTGATCACATTTTCCCTTATCTAGCATGAGCATACACCTCTGTCACTCATGTTAGTGGTGTTATCATGCGATGCAGCCACGCTCCTCAGTGCAGGCTGAGGGGAAGAAGCCATTGAGCATTTGAGTCCTGTCACCTTCTGCTGTCCCTCCCAGTCTCAGTAGGACAGTGGGCCACATGGGCGGCTCAGCATCCTCCTGCTGACACCTTCCTTTTTGAAGGTTTTCTTGCAATCCTTCATGTTTCTTGCTAGTTACACTTTGTCTCATACTTTGGCTTCCCTGATTTTTTGTTATTTTTTTCTGTTCCTCTTAGTTTTTTCACCTAGGTTCTACTTTTATGCCATTCCTTCTGAAGTTTCAGGTCATTATCTGAACTATGAGCCCCCCCTTCCCCCCGTGCTGGAATGGTCAGGTTTTCTGAATGCATTTTGTTGGACCCGATGTCCAGCTCCCTGAATTCCTTACATTTTCTCTGAAAGGCACTTTGAAGTTGCTCTCCACTTCGATACCCTTGAACGTTTCCTCTCTTTTATCTAGACTAAGGTCTGGGAGAGCCTCCCCTGGGGTTTCCTGCACTCCCCGGCCCAAAGCCCTCGGTAGCCCAAGCCCGCGTGGGCAGCCATGCCCTGGTGCACGCAGCCCCAGAGGATGCCTGGCTGTGGGGGATGCGCAGGAGGCTCCTTCAGGGAGGGGGCCAGGACAGTCCTGACCCTGTGGCAAGCCAGTTCTCATTTCCCAGGTGACCTGCCTTTTGGAGGTCAGAGCCAGTCCATATCTAGGGTATGCCCAGCAACATCTTCCTCTTCTTGTTTTGCTTTTTCTTGACAAGCTACATCCTCTAATTCACAGGCCAGTCCTCAGGGTGTGTTATGCCAGTCAGATCATAATTTTAGACGTC